CCCTGGGTGCCAAGTGGTCCCACCCACACTCTGTAGTTGTGAAGTTAGAGACCCGTCAACATGGCTGTGTCCTCCCCAGCCACAGGCCACTGCGTTGAGACGTGCCTACAACCAGGGTGTGGTTTCACCAAGTGAGCCGTCGAAGGGAGAGGGGCCAGGGGCCTGTTCTGTCAGTCATCGTCAGCCGCCGCCACCACAAAGCCGTCCCCGGCTCCAGGCAGGGTACTCTGTGGCCTCATTTCACCTTCCGGCCCAGGACACTGGAGGACTGAGGCTCAGCACGTAAGAGACCGGCCCCGTACAGCCACGGGGATTCTAAACAGGCTGGCCCTGTGCAGAAGCCCAAGTTCCAAAGCCCCAGGGCCCAGCCGCTCCACCCCAACTGCACCTCAGGATCACCTGATGCAAAGGTGACAGATGCCAATGCTGGCCCCACCTCCACATGATTTTACTGGGGGAGCAGGGGGTGGAAAGCAGGCTTCCACGTTTCTCGAAAGCCCCCAGCTGAGTGTAATGTGCAGCCATGGCGGAGAACGTTGCAGCACGGTCTCGGTCCCTCCCGAACCCCCAGCACCTCCTCTCCCCAGGCTGTTCACAAGTGTTCTGCAGGGCTGGCTCCTCCTCTGCCATCTCAGCCGTGAGCTCCAGAGGCATCCTCCAAGCCTGCGAGTTCCCAGTGACAGGGGTCCATGGTGACATGAGGTCCCTCCTGCCCTCAATGCCCAGCCATAAGCCCCACATCTGGTCTCAGCTGGATTTATGGTCCCCTTGTGAACCCATGAAGGGTTACAGACTTCAATCCTTCAGCAATCAGGAGTGTGTTGTTTCGGGGTGCGTGGGTGGCTCAGTTGGTTAGGCGTCCGACTCTTGGTTTTGGCTCAGGTCGGGATCCCAGGGTCATGAGATCAAGCCCTGTGTCAGGCTCCATGCTCAGTGGGGACTCTCCTTGGGATTCTCTTCCTTCCCTCTCTCTCTGCCTCTCTCTCAAATAAAAATAAATAAATCTTAAAAAAAAAAAAGTGTGGTATTTCTCCTTCACGAACTGAAGCCTCACTGGGTTCAGGATCAAGACCATCAAAAAAGAAATGCCACAGGTCTCAGGCCCAAAAATGTGACCCACCAGCCTTACCCCACATGGAACTACTCTGGTTTGGGTTTCATTCCCCTCCCTTCCTTTATCATATTTCCCTGATAGCACCTGCAGCTTTTCTGTTCTCTTTACTGAGAGGTCAAATTTGGGGTGTCTCGCCTCCTTACTATAAGACCTCAATATTTTACTATTATTCCACTTATTTAGGACAAACACATGTTACATTAGTTCATGGTCTCATTGCATTGGAAAGCAAACAAAGCACTACTATTAATAAATATTTTAAAGCTCAGTTCTGGAATTCCACAAAGGTGACGTTGAACCTCTGGGCAGTTTAATCAATAGGCTGCATCCCAAAAGTCCATTTATAAGTTATTTGGAACCTAGAAAGTATTTCTTTTCATATAAAATTACCTTTAAGATGGTATTTAAGTTTCTAAGCTAACAAGCAAATGCCTGTTTTTTTGTTTGTTTTTAAAGATTATTTATTTATTTGAGAGAGAGAGAGAGCACGGCAGAGGGAGAAGCAGACTCCCCGCTGAGCAGGGGACCACCCTCCCCCCCCCCGCCGAGCAGGACTCAATCCCAGGATCCTGGGATCATGACCTGAGCCGAAGGCAGATGCTTAACCAGGCGCCCTGGCAAATGCCTGTTTAACTCACTGGTTCTTTTGCTACTTTAAAATAAGGAAAATGCGGGGCGCCTGGGTGGCTCAGTTGGTTGACCGACTGCCTTCGGCTCAGGTCATGATCCTGGAGTCCCGGGATC